TCCTACAATGATAGCTGATATAAATAATCGTGTGATGTACAGTACAATGACATCCGTATAGCCTCCGAGCCAGCCACTACACGATCACAATTTTTTTCTTATAAACGTTAAATGAAATGTTACAGCCACACGTACGTATTACAAGGATGTAATGTTTTAAAATTCAATTAGTTTTCCGACTGCGTTCCCCATCGATTTACTTAAACAAGTGTTGTATGCTTACATAAACGCCACTCGTGCCATAGTGTAAAACTGCATAGCGTAATAGTAAAATTTCGCACTAACCAAGCGCATAATCGCGATGGAAATACATTTGCTTGTCGCACACGCAGCAAGTGCGCATCGCGCTCGAAAGCTCGACTTCACGTTTTTGTCCCCCGATCGTCTTCCACGGGTAATTCGCAGCCATTTACCCCAAGGATAAACGTGGTCAATTGTTTTCGGCTCTCCCCCTCCCCCGTGCCGTCGTCGCAATCAGTGCCTATTTTGCGCGTTAGCTCGGCGAGTGACGACAGTCGTGGACCGTGCTCTACGCGGACAGCCCGAGGGTCCCGACCAAGGCCCCGTCATGACGAGGTGACTCCTGGACTGCTGCCTGAACGAGGTACTTGGCGGTGATTTGACGTAAGCCCTTTGTCGAGTGTGTGGGAGTCGATAAGCCAGCGCCCGGGCGAGTCTTGGTCTTGGCTAGTGACCAAGGCTAAGGGTTATCGGTGCGCTGCTCCCAGAATCCTAAGGATTATTTCGTCCCAGTACGGATCTCTGATATTTTTCATCTCGCAGATATATCGGGGTGGATCGGTATCCTTGATTGCAGATGTGCCAATATTTTAATTTTTTTTTTGTCTCTCACTTTATTCATGGCATTTCTGATTAAGACTAAAGTAGAGAACTTTAGAAGGGGAAGTGACGTGGGCGGCGCTATAATTTTGTCGAATTGATAATATCAATAATCGTAAATAATAATATACGGGACGGCGTATTATTTATAAGGTTAAATAGCTTATGTCGGGAAGACATTTCCGAATCAAATTTTAATGACGCGCATCGAATTAAGCCGTGCAATGCATTAAATTATCTTGCGGCAATTATATTAAAAATCTTACGGTATGTCTCGTTGCGTATTCTTTAACTATTAATACCTAGAAAAACGAGTATTTAAAACAAATTAGATAGGCTTATGTATTCGACGTGTGAAGAGAACTGAATTCAAAACATTCGTGTGCACCGTAAACGCGCGTTCAAGGGGATTAATATTCGTTCGATCAAATCAACGGAATGGGCGACGAAGGAAAGAAAGAAATTGAAACTTGACGATTTAGCCCACACCGACTCATCAAAACTTTATTTAAAATTTAATCTCAATATTTATAGTGACAGTAGGATATGTCCCGTTAGCATTTTACTACCTCTTTCTGACCATTTAACACGATTAACTCGTCAAATTTCGACGCTACCATATATACCATATATGCCATTATCATTGAATGGCCAACAATTACGTAATAAATAAGACATTGTAAAATTCATAAAAATATAAAAATTGTCGATTAATGTGCATTTGATTTTTGCGACGATTCGATTAGCGTTGCTAATAGCTGCCGGTGAATTCGGAGCAGGAAACATACAGATGACGGTCACTAGAATATACGATTCACTTACGTCTTGTTAAGTGATACTCTTAATATAACCTACTTTATTAATGTCTAAATATAGGTACGTATAAAAATTGAATACATAAACGCCACTTAATAATTATTAACAACTGTTCAGATACAAGAAAATTGATGCAATCATTGATATAACTTTCTTATTTCAGAGTATCGTATTATGAAGGATTATCTCAATGCGTCAAATTACGTGACTTTTTTTTTTTTTTTTTTTTTTTTTTTAAAACAGCGTACGCAAAAATTGCCAATATAATTGTTATTCTTCATCCAAGTATTCAATAACATTCGTTACGATAATTATCAATTTGTTCCCATGTGTATTTCAAATAAATTTAATAACTTAAAAATTCTCATCTAATTATACGAGCATATGTACAATATAGTAAAAGAAAAAAAAAAAAGAAAATAAAATGAATAACATAATTAATCGTTTATAAAAATTTAACTAGGCGCAACGACGTGCCCAATGATCGAGAAAGAATGATTTCATTACAAAATTATTATAAGCGCGTTTAGATATACGGATTCGTTGTTTAATAAATTCTCGACTCTATTACGGTCACTTTAGCTTCAATTACAAACGCGTTATATTTTTTATTCTATTCCATAAATTCGGCACTTTCCTCAAACTGTTTCCATAATGCAATTTATAGAAATTAAAATCTACATAAATGTTAATTATGAACAATGGCAAATGATGAATTCCCAATAAAAAAAAAAGAATTTTTAATTGTTCAATCTAGTTATTATTTATTCGCACGGTCAATTATGTAAGCATACAATTTTTGATATTTCTCGCATTAAACGATCGAGTAATGCATTCTTTAATCTTATTAGTTCATTTGCATCATGCCGACGACTTACCTTTTTATTAAACTCGCTATTAAATTCTTATCGACCTTTAAACGACGATTCTCGCATAAATTAACGTATTAACTTCAACAAAATATAAAACAACACGAGTGAGAAAAATTAATGTTTTCTTGCGTTATAAAATCCTAAAAAACATTTATAATTTTTTAATATTATTGAAAATTATATTTTCTCTCATTAGGAAATACATGATATCGACATAACTAAATGATACAATAAATGTATGGCCTTACTTAATCCCCCGTAAGGCATCGCTGGCAATTGATAAATTAGTAAGTATTTATGAATTTTGCAAGACTAAGGAAGCACGTGTATGATAGTAATATTTCTATTTGCCAAATATTCATTAGAGTAAGATTTCATATTATCATCTCGTGTGACCTAATGATGAAATGTCGTGAAACTCGTACAATCGTGTAATTATATTTCTATTCTAGCATCCATCAGCTCAAAAATGACGAGGCGAGAAACGTGGGACGAGACGAGATTGGCGACGGTGGAATATGCTTTTTGTGAGGGCAGGAGGGCCAAGAGAGGCAGGGAC